GCTAAAGTGGTTGGCATGCAAGCCTGAGGACCTGAATTCAGATCCCCAGATCCACAGAAGTGCTTGGAAGTCCACCTGTAATGCCAGTCCAGCAGACAGTAAACTGGCTAGCCGGACTAGTGTATAGGTGAGCTCTGAGTTTGACTGAATGCCCCTGCCATAATGAATGAAGAACAATCTAGATGATACTTGATAGCAACTTTCAGCCCACACACATGTGCACACGTGCACAAACACACATATACACAACACCCCCCCCCACACACACACACACACACACACACACACACACACACACACACACGGGATGTTAAGGTTTATGGATAAATTCTGAGAGAACACCTTTAGCAGGTGAGACTTCATTAATCCACTAAATTCATTAATCGGGATTTCCTCTGATTGCTTTCAACTGAGCTTAGTTTTCAGCTACAGATAGGGTATGTTTTATGGTTTTGTTTCTTAAGTTTACAAGTAGCTCCCGTCTTATGAAGCTATTGTAGATAGCTTTCTTTTTTTTTTAATTTTTCCATTCCCCATTAGGAGATAGGAATAGTGGCTTTGGTGTGTTGTTCTTGAATCCTATAATTTTGTTCAACACATTAATTCTAGGAGGCTTTAGCTTTTTATTTTTTTGCAGGAGACTTACTTGCACTGCCTACACAGGCAATAATGTCTGTGAAAAAAAAATGGTTTGTTTCCTCCTTACCAAATCATACCTGAGCCTTCCTTCCTACACTAGTTAAGACTTGGTGCCAATAGTCAACAGGAGTGGAGGAAGTGGACGCCTTTCCTGTTCCTACTATCAAGAGGAAGTCCATTTAGATATTTACTGTTAATTATAATGTTAGAAGCAGGTTTTTGTGAATTTCTAAACAGAATCCTGGGAGGTTTTGTGATCACAAATGGATGATGACTTGTGTCAGGTGTCTTTTTGATGTTAACTGATGTGAATGTGGTTTTTCTGCGATGCTGTGGATCATGTTGCCTGAATCTGAGGCATTAATTGAGCCTTGCACCTCATTTGGTCACAGTACATTATTCTTGTTGTTTGCTGCTGGATTTGATTTGCTAGCATCTTGTTAAGGAGTTTTGCATCCTTGCTCAGGATACGTATTGGTCTGTACCATCCTGTCTGTCTGTCTTTTACATCATGGGGACTCTGGCTTCATGACACAAGCTGGGAAGTGTTTCTCTGCCTTTTTTCTGGATGAGATTTTATAAAAGCAGTTTTGTTTTGTCTTGAGATGTTTGGTAGAACTTGCCAGGAAGCCATCTGGGCCTCGAGATTCGTTTTTCAAAGTTAACTGCAAGC